CTGAATGCTGAGTGTTTGGAATTAGCCCTATATATTCTTGAACTATTGTCAAACCCTTCCAGAGGGTAGATTGGCTCTGAAGGATTGCCCCAGAACCATTCCAAATGTGGTCAAGTTGTTGATGAAGGTTTCGGAGAACTGTAATCAGTTTGCATTATCGATCCTTTGGGCCGTTTGTAAGCTTGCCCCAGAAGAATGTGCTGCGCTTGCTGTCGATGCAGGCCTTGCAGCGAAGCTCCTAATGGTAATTCAGAGTGGTTGCAATCCAGTACTCAAGCAACGCGCAGCTGAGCTCCTGAAATTGTGCAGCCTAAATTATACAGCTACCGTCTTCATTTCAAAGTGTAAGCTCACAAGAACAATACAATGAAAGGAATTGGCAAATTGTTCCTTTCCATCAAATTATATGTCCTTATGTCCAGTGGACACTGGAACTGAAGAGCTGGCAGGAAATAATTCACGGCAACGTAAAATTGAGCTCTGGAGGTACATTCCTTTCCTGTGTATATTACAGAACATGAATTCGATCAATTGGCTCACCTGAAAAGGCCCCATAAGTGGATTTATAGGCAATTTGATTTATGCCAGTGGACAGTAATTTACTGGTTCGAAGTTCTCCAATAAATTTCAGCTTGTACTTGGTCCGGATTGATTAATACATGTTGTTAAAAAATGGTACCAATCCGTGATTGATTCCATAGCTTCCATCAGCAAGAGAGTGCTATAAGTTTTTGATATGGGAAGAGAATTCTAGCAGTCTTGTATTTGCAATGTAATTGTACTTACCGTTGAGGGTTTCCTGTCCCGTTGATCCCAATTTTCTCACCCTTCTTTATGAAGGATGTATAGGGATTTAATTCTGTCCATTGTTCGTAGGAAGGTTTTAATTGGAGTCCCAACATTGTATAGTTTGAAGAGCATTTGGTCTTTGAATATAAATTCAACTTGTACAAGGAATTGATTTTTCCCTGATAACAATATCAAATGTCAATTCTTCTTTCAACAACATGCTAGATGCCATCATGCTGCTTTTTCTTGCTTTGTTGGATGTAAAAATTGTTGTTGCTAAATGCAGATGTGGTTCTTTCTCCTTTCTATTGTTGTTTGTTGGCTGAAATTTGGTTTGGAACTGATGTGAGAGTTTCGAACTGGCTTGTTATATTACTTTTCAATTTTCATAATTGGGACTACTTTGAATATTTGGTTTAGTTGGCCGATCTTATCAACCCCATGTAGGTAAGCCTCTGAGGGGACTCAGTTCCTTAGTTCTTTCTATAAGCCAATAGATGGTTAATGATGGCTTTTTTGCACTTTTTTGCACCATTATTTTGTTATAGTTAATAATGTCTTCAAGTAGGTGTGGGGATTTAGACCGATGAGGGGCGTGGGGATTGCCCTTAACTTCCCGGTAGGCTGAAACAGCTTTCTCAAGAGCTCCGTCTAGGAATAACCTAAAACAATTCATAGCCAGCTACGATTGATGAACATGAATTGCTATGCAATAGGTAAATTCTGGGAAGGTGTACAACGGAAATGGTCAATACTATCAGTGATTCAAAAGCTACCTAACACCAGTGTGCTCAATGGTTCATAACAAGTTAATGTTATCTCTCTCTCTCTCTCTCTCTCTCTCTCTCTCTCTACATACACATACATTATCTTTTGTCACTGAATGCTACCGTTTCAGCTTTCCTGACACAAAAGACGCCCCCACGGCCATGGACCAGGAAAAGAAGTGATAAAAAGAAGGTTGAAAAGAGCACTAAGCCTTGCCTTGCCTTAAAAAAGAGAGTAGGGAACAAGTGATTGTTGGCATTGCCAACTTGAATCTTTGACCGACACCCAATGTTATTAAAAGGCCAGAAAGCTAACTAGCTTAGATGTGAAGCCATTGAAGATCATTTTCTTTTGAATTCTTGATTGAGGGGGCTTTAAAACATACTAAATTTCCTCCTCCCCCACCCACCCAGCCAAAAAAAAAAAACAGAATCAGAAAAGAGTTAACAGGGTGTCGATTTGAAGGAACCATCAAGCACACTGAACAGTCCAATTGAGATTTGACTAATATTTCTGACTCACCAACCTTAAACCAATAACATTGATTGAAAACCCCCCACCATCCCCCACTGGAGAAGTAGTAGGTAGCATCATGGAACTACCATTTGCACTTAAGATTGATAATTAAGTTGAGTTTTGTGAGCTTGAATTGAGTTTGTCGAGCTTATTTTTTTAAACGAGTATAAAAAATTATTCAAGTTCAAATCGTTTATAAAATTCAATAAACTCGAGCCGAACTCGAATAATTTGATTATTTTACATATAAACAAATCTAGCATATTAGTTTTATTTTTTAAACAAATTTAAAAAATTGTTCAAGTTTGACTCATACAAAATACAAGCCGAGCCAAGCCTTATCCAAGCCCTCGACTCGACTCAATTATTCAGCTTGACCCGGCTCAATTATTAGCCCTAACGACTATCGTAAACTAGCACTTTTTTTTTTTCTTCACAGTTACGCACCATTTTCACCTAAGATAGTTTTAGTTTGTAAACATTTTATGTGTGGATTTTAAATCGGATTTAGTCAATCTAAATCTAATTCTAATTAAAAAATATTAATATATTTCAATATTAATAAAAATATATAATTTATTGTACCACTGAGATTAATTAGTGGATTCATTTATCTATATAGATATACGTATCATATTGATACAGTGGTGGCAAATTGGTAGGTTGGGTTGGTTATAAATTGAGTTAAATTAGAATGGGCTAAAATAAATTCAATCTATTTTTTACTCACCTAGTAAATGAGTTAGGTTTATAACGGATTAGGTTAAACTAATTAACCCATAAAATAATTAAAATTATTAATAGACACATTAATACACCAAAACACACACACACATTAGTAGTACACCAAAATACAAACATACACACACACACACTAATACATTAAAACACACACAAACTAATACAGTAAAAATATACATACTAATACTCCAAAAATACACACACATATATTAATACAAAAATACACACATAATGGGTCGAGGTCAATTGTGGGCTATGGGTTGGGTCGTGGGTGACCAATGGGTTATGGGTCAACCCTTGGGTTGTGGGTTGATCCGTGGGTCATGGGTGATGTATTAGTGTGTGTGTGTATTTTTGGTGTACTAGTGTGTATATGTTTTGGTGTATTAGTATATGTGTGTATTTTTTTGTGTAATAGTGTGTATATTTTTTAGTATATTAGTATATTTATTTAATTTTATTATTTGTGTTATTTAATAAAAAGATAAATACTTAACTCAATGGGTACCTATTTGTAATCCATATTAACTCGTTCAATTAAAATGAATCATATTATCGAACCTATTTAGAACCTATATTAATTAATATAGGTACCCAACCTATGAAACACGGATACTTCGTTGAAGTTGACGTTCCCGTATCGGATATAATACTCGTCGGATACGTATCTGATAATAATTAAATATTAGAATACTTCATGGGATACTTTTGTATTCAAGCAACATAAATAATTTTTGAGTTGAATTTTTAATACTTCCTTTCAAATTCACATATCATACAATACATTAACAAAAATTCATATTATTTCAAAGACATATGAGTATTTTTTAAATATTATTTACAATTACATGTCAAAAGAGTATAAAATAAATTTACTGTGTTATAATTTGAGTGAAAATTACTTCTAAATAAACCTGATTCGATAAATATTAGGTTTTATTCCTTTAATTAATCAGTTCACTTTGTAAATATACTATAGTGATACGATATATATTTTCTTGAAACTAAAAAGAATTACTAATTTTTCTTATTATATTAATGAATTATCTAAATATATAAGTATTAAGTTGATTCAAAATAATAATAATATTAAATATATTTTATTATAGCCGTATTTTAATCGTACTCGTATCCTATTTTTTTAGATTTTGTCATATCACCGTATTCGTATCGTATCGTACCTATATTTCGTATTCGGATCCGTATCTGTGCTTCATAGTACCTAATCCATTTATTTATGAACGGACTAAACGAATTAATGCATAATAGGTTAAGATTACCATCTCTACTGATACATGAATATCCTTAGATATATATATTCATGACTCTTATTCATGAATTATATTTTTGAGATGAATGCGTAAGGTACATACATGACCATTTCTCGTTAAGCACAATGAACAGAGTAAATATATATGCGTTATATGTATATATATACATAAATCATATTTAATCGGATACATGAATAGCTTCTACTCAAGAATTAGTCATTATCTTATCTTATCTTACTACATATAAAAGTACAGAAATGTGTAAAACATTTGTTTTTCAATTTTACCCCTCAAAAATATCATTAGGACATTTTGGTACATATAAATAAATTTGCTATTAAATCTAAATAATTATAATTAATACATACATCCCTAACATATTGCTTGTATGCCGTTACTACACCTTTGGCCTCTCTCTCTCTCTCTCTCTCCACCCCTTACATATTCAAATCTCTTCAATAAACCGTCAACTCTTTCAACTTTTGAGAACAATCCTATTTTTTTTCCAATGCTCTTTGTGGCTATACAATTTTCGGGTTTCTCTTGATCTGTTACGTGTTCAAACCTCTATCTCCAGGAAAAAGCTGTTCATGCTCCCTAAGTCATTCTTCTATGCTTATAGTGAAACTGGTGTGATCTCAGGCTTCATTGAAGAAGCAGCAAAAATGCGGCATAGGCGTCAAACTAATTTTTTGTCAGATGTTTTAATCTTGAATGGGTTTTTTTTCTAATTTCATTTTTATGGTTTGGATTTTTGTAGTTAAATTGATGTCGTTATTGGCGAATCGGTTCGAAACACTCTAGGAATCAAATCCAATAGGGTCTGATTAGCCTTAACCTCTTCATACATCAGAGTAAGCTTGTGAAACTTCAAAATCATTTATACTATCACATATGTAAGACTTTATTTCAATTGAGTCTCCTAAACTATTCCTGCAATCTATTTTTTTATGCTCCCCCTCTATATATATATATGTGAATTCTTATATTCGAATCGCATACATTCATTTTTTTTCTATCCTTGAAGTAAAGAAAGTTATTTTTTCTTCTTTTTGTTTAGCAGAGATGAAAAATAATACCGATATATTTTCTATCTAATGTTATTGAATGAAAAATGAAAAGAAAGGAAAGGTAAACATGCATGGTGAGGTAGAGTAGAATTTCAAGAATGCTTGTTTGACTTTCAGAGCGAAATTGTTCTGATTGTTTGCTAAAAAGCAATAACGATTAACATTCTTGTTTTTTAAGTGTAATAGTACACATGGCTGTTTCAGTATGTTTGGTTGGTGATGCTTGGCACTATTTTCTTGAAGGTGTAAAAATTGTGTATGTTAGGTTGCTTTTCTTTGTCCAGTTGGTCTCAATGTGTGATATTTTTTATTTTATTTTTTTGGCATTGTGATCGGAAACTTGGTTTTTTAAAAAAATAAATTCTCAACTTATTCTTTGTTTTTGTGGATGTGTGGTAATGGAGTTCGTTGCTTTGCCAGATTTATTGCTGAGCTTGACAGTTTACATGGGAAGCAAAGGTGTGGTCTTTAGCTGTTTTTATTTTTTGAGGTTTTCCTTATCTATGTTGTATATCCTTGCTTAAATACAGCTCCAAGTTAAATCCAATAATGTTCTCTCAATGCCATTGAGGCTTGGCCGGTTTGCTTATTTATGGTGATTGACACCATTAAATTTTGAAATTTCCAAGGAATGGCTAAATTTTGGCCATATTTTCTTTTCATTAGTTGCTTTAACCAATCATTTTGTGATTGTGACACTTCGTTTATTATATCCCCTATAGGCAAGAATTGCACCAGAGGACCTAAGTCCTCTGAACCCCATCCTTTTACAACCTGAGCCAAGGGCATGAATATTCAATTTAGTGACACTATTGTGTGAAAGATATTCCCTATATTACAAGGATAGTGTGACTGTGGAACATGGTGATGGGGTGGGTGAACATGGATTTGAGAAAGTGATGGATATTGTTGCAGGTTCCACTTGTGTTTACAAGATCGCTATTTGTCAACAAAGAAGCTCGGATCCTCGTTCTTGGCCTTGACAATGCCAGAAAAACCACTATGCTCTGTGAGTTTCTCATTTGGATTTCTTTGTTTTTCAGTTCAATCTGAAACATTCAAGATTGTAATTTTTCATTCTAATGTCCTGATTTGGGTTTGCTCAAACCGGCTTCAGATGGGAGAAGTTGTCTCCACTATTCCAAGTTGGTATTCTTTTTCTGGTCTATTTTTATATATTTTCCATTTCGTTGGTGGGGAAAAATTGCAAAAGGGAATGGAAACAGACAATTAAAGTTGGTATCAGAAGTTTTCAGCCAAATTCGTGTATAAGGCTTAACATAATTAGAAGTTATTGCGCTAACTTTACCACAATTATTGCCCTAAATTTACCTAAATCTAGACTATTATTGCATTTTGAATTTCTTGTAATTCAATTTGTGGATTGATTCATGTGCATTTCTTGTGGTGCAACAATTGGGTTTAATGTGGAAACAGATCAATAGAACAATATAAGATTTCAAGTTTGGGACCTTGGCATGTCAATCAATTACTTAATGATCTATTCATTTTGTTTCTTGTCGTGATAATAACATTTGGAATTTTGGAGATTCATGATCATACATAGATAAGCATTAGATTTCTGTTATTCTTGTTGATTGTGTTTTGTATCCGGCGTTTTAATATGTCAGATTATTGGTTCGATATATAAAAATGTTACAGACAGTTGGTTCGAGCATATTGAATTTTTATATGTTCAAGGTCATATTTAGATGAACCTTTTACAAGCACTTCCAAAAGTGAAAGCTAAAATTCATAAGTACTAATTGTTAAGAGTAATGGTTGTATGTTCATCATCCTGTGAGGAATTTCCAAAGTCTGTAATTTGCTATCTTTCCTTGCGTTCTTTAGAATTCATTTGCATCTATCCTATGTATTTTTCTTTGTGTTCTACATTAGATGCGTAATCCTTGCCTTTTGCCTATTAAAACTGGAAGAAAGAAGCTACCCTTTAGTTTTACTTTGGATTATGATTGGATCCTTCCCTTTGCCAGTGTGTACAAATACAATATGGAAGATGCTTGCTTTGGGGGCTTAAATGCTATGTTTGGTTGGATTTTTGATATGTGACCTTGTGTATTTCAAGTCTATGCTGCAATCTAAAGAGGCAATAACCATTAGCACAATTCCTTTTATTTAATAGTCATACAAGGTTCACATATATTTCACCCTCTGATATGTTGTTTGGTTGATTTAGGCGAGGATTGATAGCTCCGTAAAATACCTTATTATAGTCTAGAATTCTTCTTCTAAGGTTAATCGTATTTATTTATGATGTTTTGAGATCAACATAGTTTTTGCTGACACAAAAAACTTTGAAAAAGAAGACCATTGACATTTTTTAATTAACCATCGTCTTCCTAATCAAATTATCAACTTTAGAAGAAATTCTCTTTGAGAGGTTGATTGACAGGAGCTAGGTTAATGGCCAACTTGAGCTCTTTATTGACCCTTGAATTAAGAAGGTTAAGGCTGGTGAGTAATCTTTTCTAAAACAACTGTCAGTGGTGTTCATCACAGTGTCACAATACCTAAGTCTATTACATTCAAATGCTCCTTATGGTTCTCTTTGCCGATCAGGTGAACAATCTTAGTGTCATTGCGAGATTTGGCCCCATGGAAGCTCTGTCTAATGTTGCTGATATAGGTTTCTACTATGTTGCCAACAAGTTGATTGATATTATGGCTAGGATTCTACAATTAATGTACCTTCATTGTCACCAACAGATCTTACAAGACCCTTGATAAGGCTACTCATATCACTCAATGCCTTCAAAAAAAAAAGAAGGTAAAAGGATCAAGTGAAGAAAATTAAGGAGGGATGTCTACAGGATCTTTTTAAAAAGCATTCTGGATTCATCCAATTTCTTTGTGCATTAAGAAGTCTACTGGGAAAGTTTTCAATGACGAGGACAACAAAGATAAAAAATACATGGAAAAGTAACGGAAACGTGGCCACCCAGGAGTGTTCCTCAGGTGAACAACCAGAAATACATCTAGATGAGGAAAACAGAGCAGATTATCAATGAAAAGTATGTGTATAATTTAAGAGTCTCATCAATGACTATGAGTAGCAATTGACTGTGAAGCAATTTTCAGTTTAGAGATAACTTGAATTCAATGCTTTCACAGTGCTGCAATCCGGGCATAATTCTGGATTAAAGGAGTCCAATGGAATCAATGATCCTCGCTTTGTTATGAAAATAGATTATATTGAAAGAATTATAAGGCTGTGATTTATGCAGCAGGCCCTTTAGATTTTTGCCCAATTCAGTGCACTCCCAGCTCCCTACCTTAATTTGACTCTTACTTATCCTTGACTCTGGTATATTGTGATCTTGTTTTTCCAATTTCTTGGTCTTTTCTTTTCGGTTCAGTGTTTAGTTTGATGGTTTTAAAGTGTATACATTGAGATTTTGTTCTATTTCTTGAATAAATTGTATTATATGTGTACCCTTTAGTTAATATCATATAGTTCACCTTCCACCATTTGTTGAGTTTCTTCTTGTTTTCTATTTTTTTATCCTACTTTTATTTTGTAATATTTTATGTTAGGGGTAGAAATCGTTTCGAATCTCATCCCCTGAATGGAAGGATTTTAGCTGACCTGACGTGTGTCAAAGCGACCACCCAGTAGTCTTTGACCTCCATCCCACATTGGGTAGGAGTCGTCTCCCCCTACCATATAAGCCCTTGCGCTTAATGGAGGAGGTACCCACTAGCGACCTGATCCGGGACGAGATCGAACCAGGAGAAGAATTGAAGGAGTAAAGGGGGCAAAGGGAATCTTATCCCACCCTCTATAATAGCCTTGGTGTAGAAAGGAATTGCTTCCTCGGTCCCGACATCATGATTATGCCGAGCGGGTTTGAATTTCTATATACCAACATTATTGGGAATGCGATAACAGGTTCTAAAACTCTCTATCTGCTGATCCCCTTAACTTTATATTTCCCTAGCCTCGAGGGACCAGCACTTTGGATCTCGGTGTCAGGGCGGGCCCTAGGCATCTCTACGAAGGAAAAAGGGATTTCTCCTCCTAAAAAGGTCCTAAGGAGTTTTTTCAAATCACTAGGGAGGCTGATGGAGACCAGGAAGGCCACCGATTACCGGAAAAGCCAGAAGGAAAAGAAAGAAAAAGAAAGCAAGAACTCACCAGAGAACTAAAGAAAGGTTCTAGAAGCTTAGAAGGACTTGTTTCATCGTCGAAAGTCTGGTGGCAAATGGTGGCGCAAGTGTTTTCGCTCCAGTGATGGCTGGAAAGGCGGTGGTGCAAACTGGTTCTCTGAGGAGTTTTTCGGCGAGAGCTCTAGTAAGTTTCTTCGCATGAACTAAAATGTGGGAAAGAGAGGGGGGTTCAGTTTATAGAGTAACTGTTCCCATCATTGTGCACGAATCACTAAGAGGCGCATTTAATGCGCACAATCTCCAAAACGATGAAAAATGGCTGGGAGCAATGATGAGGTGGTTAGGACATTTATGTAACCCTTTGCCTTCTGACGACACGTCTCCCCTGCATCAAAAGATCAAAGGGTTGAGGGGCAGTTGATGGGACATTTCTGGAAGAAGACAGATAGGCGACATGTGTCCTCGACATCGTTATGTTTCCAGCTAGATATGGCCACGGGTCCTCGACGACACTCATCCCCATCTGCCGAGGTGATAGTGCTCGGAGTCAAGGGATTCCCAATCGACGTGATCAACACATATGTCCTCAACTCGACAAAAACCTTTGACCCCGAGATAGACAAATATTCCTCGATACCGAGGTGTTCCTTTTGTACGTTGGATTCCACCTCTCCTCTGCTTCTACAAAAGCTAATGATAGACAAATGGCTAGCCTAGGCCAAGCTAAGCTAATCATCATGAAAACGCTCTACTCGATGATGTCAGGAGGCGTAGGAATGCAGAACATGCAGCATAGGAGGGGTGGACATGTGGAATTTGATATCAAATCAATAGCAAAAAGACATGGGTACCCTTGCTGACACATGACTGGTGCAAGTAAGCATTTAATGAATCCTCCTCCTGATGAAATAGCAATTAAGACATGGGGGCCGAGAAGTGAAGTGCATTAAAGACCCCCATACCTGGGCATTTAATACATCCTCACCGAGAATGGGGAATTGAATGTTCGACAGACTGAGGAGTGAGTTTTAAATGCTTGGCATCCCGATCAGTTAAAGCAAAGTCCATTCCCCATAAAAGTTAAAGGCACACTACCCCATCTCTGACAAATATATGTTGGATGGACCATCAGCAATCATGAGCTTTTGAAGGTATAAATAGTTCTCAAAAACGCACTGCAAAAGTACACAAGAACTTCGAAAAATAATCACACAGTGCTTTCTTCTTCCCCTCTCTCAAAGAACTGACTTGATCGACGGAGGGGATACGCCGGAGAGCACTCCGGCACCCTTCTAACCTGTTTTTCTTTGCCACAGGATCCCCCCACAGTCTTCCAAGACCAGTCAGGCGACCCAACAAACAATTCATCATCAGTCCTTAAGGCCCCTTTGTCCCTCTCAACCTACTTCTTGTTGTCAAAACCCACTTTCAGATGGGTCAAATCTCTACCAGAGGCGATCAGAGACCCTGAAAGCAAATCTTCTGTTCTGTCGAAATTATTATCTTATCAAACCACAATTTATTATGAGAGAGATCTATTTTTATTTTTACTGTTGTGCAAAAATCGACACGCACATTTCACTTTACACAATATTATAAAAATTGACCAAATCAATGATGTTTCATACGTAGTTGTACTTACTACCATCAATTGAATTGTCCAAATATGTAGGTCAGATTAATAACAGATGATAAGACACTTACCATGTTGTCAGAAGTCTAATGGCATTCCAAACATCTTATTCATTTTAGCTACAAGGGTTTTCTTTGTCTCGCATCTTCAATGTCGTCGCCTATTAGTTTTCTTTAGTGAGAAACAGACAAAGAGATCCAAAGAAGAGAATGGAGATTTGTTAATACAATAAACTTATTGAGCTAGCCGACAAACTAAGCATATAAAGCTGAAACAACTGGATAAATATTACATATATTATAATCAAATTAAGCCATTAAGCACCCCCATATAATATGTCATAATTAAGCTAAATGATTGAGGTGGTCTTTATGACAATCCCAATTTTGCCAAATTCATCATGTGAAATAATCACTTGTCATTTCAATTATAAATTTATTCTTGAACGAATGAAATTATTATTACATATCATCGAACACAACTAGAAAAAAAAAAATTATAGTTTAAAATGGTCCATGTGCAATGCACGTGTGCACCAACTAGTTATATATATATATAGGAAGAATAACATTTTGACCCCTTAAATTTGTCACTTAATCACTCAGACCCCTAACATTTAAAATATTACACATAGACCTTCCAAGGTTTGTAAACGCATAACACTTAGACTCATGTCATTAATATTTAGTATATATGTCAGTAAATTATACACAAACCCCTTGAAGTTTGTAAACATATAATACTTAGACCCCTCAAGTTTAAAATATTATACTTAGACCAAAAAAACTCTAATTAAAGATAAAATATCAAATATTTTAAATTTTAAATTTTACAACTAAAATTCATGTTCTATTATGACATTTATTAAACTACTAAATTACCCCAATTAAAATTAGAAGATATTGTGTCTATTACAGTTTAACCCCTTTTTTATTTTTTTTTTGTTTTATTCCAATATATAGTATAATTGTATACTAAAAATATGAATTTTTGTTGTAAAATTTAAAGTATTTGATATTTTATCTTTAATTTGAGTATTTTTAGTCTAAATATATCATTTTAAATTTAAATGGTTTAAATATTATACGTCTATAAATTTCAAGGGGTCTAGGTATAATTTACCAACGAATATACTGATGGATATTGATAGTATGAGTGTAAGTGTTACGCATGTACAAACTTCAAGAAGTTTGTTTATAGTATTTCAAATGTTATGAGGTGTGAGTGATTAAGTGGTAAAGTTTAAGAGGTCTAGATATAATTTTTCCAAATAAATAGTAGTTGCCGATCATAGCTTACGACAAATAAATTTTCATTTTGCATATTATAAATGTGTGAATTTTTTATTTATTTTAATAATTAATAATCATAAATAATTTAAAATAAATATTATAATCTATAATTATTTTTTGGGTAAAAAAATCTTGAGGTCAAATTTTACTTTATGCCCCAAAAAATTTTAAAAAATTTATTTTGTACTTTAAATATTATATTTTATATTACACTCTCAATGTATGAAAAAATTTATAATGTGATTTTGTTGTTAGATTTTGTTGCTTATTTCGTGAATGTCAATAGATTATTTTTTACAGAATAAACAACGAAAACTAACGATAAGACTTAGATCACATAAAGTGAGAACAAGAGCGAGGGTGAGAACACAAAAGCATCAATATTTAAAAAAAAATTGAAAGTGGAAGCTTCTTGAGAATATCATATTATATGCATTCAGACACACATTCACCCATAACAGTTTAATATATATAAAATTAAAAAATTAAAAATTTATGCATAATTATAAAATAAAATGTTTAATTTTTAAATATATGTTAATTATAAAGTCCTAAAATGACAATTGTAGTTGACAAATATTATTCTGGTTTGATATATGGTCTATGTCAGCACTTCCCAAATAAAAATTTGATTAACAATAAGTAAACATATAAATAAATAAAAGCTCGAATTTGTCTCACGAATTAAAATTTTAAATTTGGATATTTTGTAAAAATGAAAGCGAGAATTCACTCTCAGAGCGTAAATTTGGGTGTGCAACGTGAGAGCGTTAAGAATTTAGAATGATTATGCGACTAAAAGTAAGACTACGTTACAATATTTTTAATAAATTGGTAATACAATATAAAATTTAATCATTAAAAGTGCAAAGTGGAAATTTATAGATTTCTTGGGGTACACAATGCAATTCTCCCAAAATCTGGTTTTGACCTGTTCCACCACCTCCAAGTTGGCAGATATGCATATGGTTGGCGCCAATAGAACGGCACGGAACGGAAGTGAGGTCCACAGGCGTTTCGGGAAAACAAACAAACCAGATAGCCATCCTCTCCTCTTCCTTGGGGTTGGGGGATCTCAAGCTCTCAACGAATCAGATTCAAACCCTTTATGAAATCAAACCAATCAACCAGTAACCATACCTCTCTGTAACCACTCTTCATCACCCAATTCTACAGGTTCGTCTCTCTCTCTCTCTCTCTCTCTCTCTCTCTCTCTCTCTCTCTCTCTCTCATATTGATTTGTGGGCATTAGTTAGCCGTCGTCCAGTAGCTATCAATTTAAGTTTCTCGATTCCCTCAGACTCTAAACATCTCTATTTCCACACCCACATCTTCGAGACTCGAAACCATTTAAATTTTGAAATCTCAACAGTTCTCGAGCCCTAGGGTTTGAGTAATTTCAGCTCTAGGGTTCCTTACGTGTGTCTGTACTTATGTGAATCTTCATTTCTAGGAGAACGGTTTGCTATTCAATTATCAGAGCCCTTAAAGCTTGGATTTTCACTAGGATTTGATTAACTTGAGCCTATATGGATCTTGAATTGGTAAAAAGTGGGTTGAATTTCTCCAAGAAAAAGAAGTGGCTAGTTTTACTTGCCGTATTTGGTTTTTCGAGTTTTGGTGCGTATAAAGTGTATAACTTGCCGTCTGTGGTAAGGAAGAGGAAGAGGGTTGTAAAGCTCTTGGGAACCCTAGTTTCTGTAGCCGAGATGGTTTCTGATTCCGCGGAGACAGTTAGTGTTGTCTCCAAGGATTTAAAGGAGTTTTTGCAATCAGATTCAGACAAAATTCCCAATAGTTTGAAGCAATTATCGAAAATTGCTCGATCTGATGAGTTATCCAAGTCGTTGATTGGGGTTTCCGAGGCTATGGTGGCTGGGGTTTTAAGAGGTTATAGGTCAGAGACAAGAAACGAAACTGATGAAGTGGGGAATTCAAGTTTTCCTGACCGGGTTATGGATAAACTGATGTCCAGGGCAGGGACTGGGTTTATTTCGGTGGTGGTTGGTAGTTTTGCGAGAAACTTGGTATTGGGTTTTTATTCAAGTGATCAATCACACGAAGGTTTGTATGGAAACAACAGTTCGGGTGTGTCCTATGTTGGATCAAATTTGTCGAATTTGCCTGACTGGGTAGATGTGGTCTGCGATGACAAATGCAAAGTTCTTATGGCCGATTGCATTCAGACATTTGTGAGCACAGCAGTTGCTGTTTATCTTGACAAAACAATGAGTATCAATGTCTATGATGAAATGTTCACTGGGTTGACTAACCCTAAGCACCACATGAAAGTGAGAGACATTCTGGTTTCTCTCTGTAATGGGGCAGTGGAAACGCTTGTGAAGACCTCTCATCAAGTGCTGACGAGTTCAAAATCTGATTCAGAGTTCAGTTCAAGTTCCTCATGTTCCAGTGTTGATCAGAGTGAAGCCCCAAGCGGAAACAAGCTTTTCGAGCAAGAAGCACCTCCAAGAAAATTGAAAGAGCCAGGCAGACCTATAGAGATACAGAATAGTGGATGGGTGAGTGGTGTTTCATCTACCTTGGCTGTCCCAAGCAATCGGAGGTTCATGCTAGATGTGACTGGGAGGGTGACATTTGAAACTACGAGATCAGTTCTAGAGTTTTTCATGTGGAAGCTGTCGTATGGCTTGAAAAGAAGTTATAATGTAGTTCATGAAGAGATTGTGGACAGGGGACTGGAAGTTATCAGATATGTTGGTGCTAAATCTTCTATTATTCTAACCATATGTCTTGCCCTCCTTTTACACATCCTTGGCAGCACCCGTGCCATGTTACCTGCATAAATTGGTTGAATTCTTCCCCTTATAAAAGCCTTCATGTAACAATACCAGAATGTCATTGATTTTTGGGGGAAGGATTTAATTGTATGACTTTGTCTCTATATTGTAGAATGAAATGATGACTTTGACTTTATCCCTGTTTACTGATGTCTGATGATGATTTTAGCTTCTTGTTAGTCTTAGTTGGTAGCCTTTATATGCGATCATGTTTAGCAATATTTTAGAGAATCAAAAGGCTCTTGTTTTTTTTTTTTTTGTGTGTGGAATTCGACGGTGCTCCACAGGAGCTCAAATGTGGTTTTGGTTTTGCTGTCCAGGTGTGAAATCATGAGTCTTATGACAAATTATCAAAGATGTATTTGATTATCTGTTGTCCCTGCTTTTATGCAGCGAAGGGAGAGCTATTGAAAGAAAAGAAAGTTCCTAGAAGTGGAACAATATGAAGAAGTGAGAGGGCAAGTGGGAAACTTGGACATTTTGTCGTTAATTTACCATACAGCATATGTATGAATTAGAATTTTTCTTCCGGATATCAACTTTTGCAATCAATGGAGTGACCTATGAACCCAGAATTTACTGTGACCTCCAGGATGAAACATTGTTGAACATCTTTTCTATTACTTACTGTTTTTTGTGTGTGAAATTTATGATGTGGACTCAATTTAAGTGTTTCTCTTGTTGGAAGTAAAAGAGATAACACTTCAACTACACTTGAGAGTTAATTGAAGCTTCCATGTACCAGATACGAGCAAAGTATTAGTAGCTGAATTGGCCATATTGTGACTTATGAGCTTGCACGCTGCCACCCATTCCACCCCTCCCCCATTTCCACCCTCTGCCGTGTGTGCTTCTCCCTGATGAAATCAGTTGATTGTTATGACATGCCTTCCATGTCTTTGCAAGCAGTGAAGAAAAGAAAAAGAAAATAGTAGGCTAACGAGATATGGTATGTTTACCATTATAACACTGGGTTCAAACCTTCATGTCCATGTCAAACATTGTTCATGCACACTTTCCAGTTGCACCATGATTGAAATGAATTTTGTTTGAGATTTGTACTGTCCATCAGCTCTTATAGAGTGGTGTATAAGTTGTTGGGAGATATATATTAAGGAAAATGTTTGCATATCGATTTAATCCTGTCTTGACATTCATGAGCAGTTGTTGATTTTGGTGTGAATGATTTACAATTATTTGCTAAAAATAATAAAACAAAAATACTACACACATTATACTTTTATTTGTAGAGCTATGATAATGAAAAATTAGTTGTCGGTGTCATAATTGAACCCACCAAGAAATTAAAAAGATCTTATACATCACACAATGAGTAACGCCTGTGCATTATCAAAGTAAAAGAATTCAACACCGGGATGGTAGCCTAGTTGGCTTAGTAAAAGGTGAAAGTCTTGTTCTCTTTCAGTGGTCATGGATTCGAATCCGTTTGTTATAGTAGTCCTTGTAAACTAGATACTGCTAGAGAGACCGAATGTACAGTTTGGACTTGGTGGTGTTGTAATGACGAGTTTGACTATCCCATTTTAGTAGTTATGGCTCAAATCAAACATGCTACAGCGGATGAAAACCTCAAGATAACATCTCGGAATTACAACGCCTAATTGCCCCTAACCACCATTTTTTCAAAAAAAAAAAAGGGTAAAAGAACTCAGCTTTACATTGGGTCTTTGGGATGGTACTTGATATACCAAACTTCTTGTCCTGGGTTTTTTTTTTTTTTTCGTTTTTGAAAGTTATATATATCAAAACTTTTATGAAATCTATATATATCAAAACTTTTATGAAATCAATTTAAGGTTTTCATTAATGCTCACCAATTATTTGAGGACTATCAATATGTCGCATGATTTGATACATAAGATTTGGTAAAATGATCAAACGAAATCAAATTATCACGAAATGATTTAATAATACTACTAAATAAATTCTCCCAAATGTATATCAATAAAGAAATTAAACATTCTGATTCATGGCTTGTGCTCCTGTGTATAGATATAATCAACATGAGCTACTAGTGTCCTCCTCATCAAGCACTCTTCTTCTCCCACTCCTTCACAACTTGCTTCATCAACATTAGTGTTCTCTACCTCAGCCTCCTACAATCATTGTCAAAAAAACATAAGCAAAACCGACAAAACAAAATCAAAAACTGGTCATAATTTAAATCATCAACGAAAACAAAGTGACCAAAAAGACATACCCTGTCTTGGGGATTCACCAGAGAAGGCTCGGGCCGGGCTGCGGCGGCCGTCAGCGTGAAGAAGAAGAGGAGGAGGGCTAAGATGAAGAGGGTGCTAAGTTTGGACATACTTATTCACCAGATTGTACTAGTTCTGTTTCAATGTGTGGTTTACACTGGCAGAAGAGAAGAGATACACAAACAAGAGGCTTTTGGATTTATTTATATGGGTGGAGATGACAAGTTCCTCTTAGATGAGTAAATATTTGGCGTAACGGTTACGCCGCTTTAATATGGTCACGTAATATAATCGTCTAATAATAAATGAATAAACGAATCTCACATTTTGAATATATAACGGTTATTATTGTATATGGAGTGATGGTTACTTGAAATAGTGTGGTCTAGTTTGTCTATTTATTTATTTTTTATTGAGCGATTATATCACATGACAATACTAACGTGGTTTGACCGTTACACGCGATATTTTTTCTCCTCTTAGATGATTCAAAGCTGACCTGTTCGTGACTCGTGGCAAGATCTTATAATCACTCCAGCCATTATTAGATAATACAGGAATTAATGAAAGAAATTTGGAGAATCTGATTGGGTGGATAATGTCTAATAAAACCTCATTAATGCGCGGATGCATATATATATATATTAGGAAAGTTCATGTCTAAAGGTACGGTACAACTAAATAAATCGATTAATTTAAAAAAAATTACTTTAATTTATTTTAATTAAAAAAATTAAAATTAATATAGTTTTTGAGAGGGATGTTGGTGCAGTTAAATGAATTTGTTTGAGACTATCGATAAACTTATCGAAGTCTATCCTGTTTTATGTAATAGACTATAGGTAATCCGTGTATAAAGGTACAATGCAATGTAAATAATTTTAAGAAAGATATCGGTACCCGTTGAATACGTCTATTTGAAATTGTCGGATGATTTTATTGAAACTTGTCTTATTTTATATTATAAATATATACATATACTAATTATTTCTTATACCTGAAGGCACAGAATAATAAAAAAAATAATCAACAATAAATTTATTTGTATTCACACATAAAATCAAATAACAAACATACAAGAGAGATAAAATAATTTAAATACCAATTATAGTGCAGGTGAACGGGGATAGTGGTGGTAGGTGACAGTGTTTATAGTGGGAGACAGAATATATATATATATATAGATATTTGGTTAGTCAAGAAGATTATATACGTTAAAATTAAGAAGATTTATCCGTGTTTGGCAATACTCACTTCAAAATATTAGTCTTGACACATTTCATTTCTTCAACCTTTATGGTCAACTTTGAAAGAATTTGTGTGGAATGAGACTTTCTTTTTCACTGATGTGGAATTTAGGAAAATTACACTTTGACTCCCTCAGCTATGACTCTTTTTTCATGATACCTCCTAAATAATCATGTTTTTTACTTTGCACTAGGGGTACAATTTGGACGAGTCAATCCGAATTCAACCCGAGTCCAACCCAAAAAAATAGGGCTTGAGATAGAATTTTTAATACTTGAGCTGGGTTTGAAAAAAAAAATCTCAACTTGAATTAAATTTGAGCAAGTCTTGGGTTGAGACCTCGTGTTGTCGGGTTCAACCCGAATATTAAATAGAGTTGAACCCAAATATACATAAATATATAAATATATTTAACTAGAATTAGTATTTATCTTCACTCTTTAGCGTTCAGACTTTCACTTCACTTCAAGTCTCTATCACTCTCAGATTCTCCTCTCACTTGTCACTCTTTCCTATCTCAGTTTCTCTCTCTTAATCGTCACTCATCTGAGTCGTCTTAAACTCTCAGCCTCCTTCTCTCACTCCCTTTCTCTTTATCTGCATTTCGTCCTTCATCTCAAATCACTTGAAAACATCAAATCTACACTTAAAAAAAATCAAATTTACACTTCAAAAAATCAATCTGAATTAAGTATAACAAGTCCAACCCGATTTTTAACTCGAAATCAACCTGAATTAAATAATCCGAATTCAACTCAAGTCCGCCCGAATTCAACTCGGACAGTATTCGGATTGAGATAAGGTTAGGATTAGGGTTAAGGTAAAAGATTATATACTTAAGATTGGACTATGGTTGTCCTCTCAACCCGTCCAACCCACCCGTGTTGCACCCCTATTTTGCACCCTGAGCTAAGTGATTAGTTTTACATTGCCCCAATTACTAACATCTGTTACAAATTTAATATAAAATTGTCTCATTCTCTCCCCAAACAATATGATTTTTTTTTAACTTTTCTTGACAAGTTAGTGATATTTGTTCGAAAAAGACAACGATCAATTGTATTTGGAACAATGCAAAAAATTTAATAATTTGAGGGATAAAGTAATATCGAGTTCATAGTTAAAAGGTCAATATATAATTTGCCAGTGGAATTATTTCCCACCATATGACCTGCTAATCTTTTCTTTTCTTGGTTCAACTGGTTAGAAGTGTCCAAATCAATTTATGCACATTTCGACTAATTTTTTTCTTGATCCGAACAATACAAATTATTCACACTTGAATTAGAGTATTCATAAGAGATAAATCCCTCGTAACCAAACCTCTATAAAAACAATTGAGTTGGTCCTTAAGCCCACTTAATGTTTGATAGAAAATTCAAGTGAGACCACTTTCATGCAAGTGTGAACTCAAAGTTGATTCCCCACTCAACTTTTTAAGTCTTCTTGTATGCATTCCCTTTAACGAAAACAACAAATATGGTCAACCAAACAAAAATCAAGACTAACCGGAAAGAAGACTGGAAAATTCTAGTCACG